GGTGGGTTTTGCTCCAACCCCCTTTCGTGTTCACAATCTCCTGGGAGGGAGGTGAACAGTTACAGGGGGGACCGCAGGACGAATACACTTTTTGAGGGTGCAGGTCCCTAGGCCAGAGCAAAAAAGGAAAAATAGTAGTAGAAGGAAAAGAGCTCAAACCACGGCGGGAATATCGCGCTATAACTGCTCTCCAGCTGGAGTGTGGGTCACTCACACCACCAGTGGGGAGGGCAAGCTAATGCTCGATAAACCGAAAACGCTCGTGAGTTGTTGTGGACGATGACAGTCGTGGGTGGTCCGGTCCGGGAAGATGGCCAACAATGGCACAAGGGAGAGGGCGGTCTTCGCAGTTCCGGGTCCAGCAGGAGGAAAGAAAGAAGAAAGAAAAATGCTAGTGACAGGGGGGAAGGAGGTTCAGAGGAAGAATAAAGGGAGGATGGAAGTGAATTTTAGAAGGAGAGAACAGGTGCAGTGGCTAAACACCGCTTGCGTGAGGGGGTAGGCAAAATGCCCTGAGGGTGCAACAACAACAATCAGGACGAGGCAGAGGGAGGGCGGGAGCAGGTCCGAGCAAGCAAAGGGCCAACGCGGGTGTTCTGATTGTCGTCTTAGCTCGGGCAGTGTTGGCAGAGCGTAGGAAGAACCGTCCCGCCACGGCGGCGGCGCAAGCCGAGAAACGCAGGTGGACGGACGCACAGGCACACACGATCAAAGTAAACAGAGAAGGTGAAAATATAGAAATTTTGCTAGTCGTAGGGTTGTTTGGATAAAGATGAAGGTAAAGTCTTTGAGCTATGTCAAAGAGGAACGGAGCGAGTTGGAGGAAGGGTTTTGAATCTTTGAGCTTGAAATGTCAAAGTATTCATAGTAAGGAAGGATGAGCGTATCGTAGGAGAGTTTTTAGTAATAGCAGCAGACAGATTTGAGCTTTTTTGTCAAATTATGAACGGAGACGAGAATGAGATATAGGCTGAATGGTTTCAGTCTTGAGTTAGGTCGATTTTATTGAGAATTGGATGTCACAGACGTTGGGTATGTTTTGATTTGTTTCTGAGAGTTGTGGGTCTTTCAGCTATGTCAGAGAGAAATGGAGAGAGTTGGAGGAAGAGTTTTGAATCTTTGAGCTTGAAATGTCAAAGTATTCGTAGTAAGGAAGGATGAGTGTATCGTAGGAGAGTTATTTAGTAATAGCAGGGGACAGATTTGAGCTTTGTCAAATTGTGAACGGAGATGAGAGTGAGATATAGGTTGTTTGGTTTCAGTCTTGAGTTAGGTCGATAATGTTGACAGTGGCTGGTATAGAGGTTGGGTATGTTTGATTTGGTTTTGGAGAGTTGTGGTGTTATGAGAGGCTTTGTCTGGCTGTTTGGAGGGGTGGGGGAGTTTGTGTTTGGGGATTGGCGGGGGTGGAGGTTGTATGTTGAGTTGAGGTGAATTAGAATTGCTTCGGGGGGGTTGTTGTGTGAGTGTGTATGCGTTTGCGTGGAAATGTAGTAAGGGGAGAGGGGGAGGGTTAGGATAATTGATAAGGTCAGGTATGGTTCGGTTGTCGGGAGGAGGGGGGAGGAGAGGAGAGGAGAGGGGAGGCGAGGAGAGGGAGGGGGGCTTTGAGGTTGTTGGGTTAATTTATAGTATGTAAGGATTCCTTAGGTGTGATATGATTTGTGTTGCTAATGAATAGTTGTATTGAGTCATAGGTTTTTTTTTTTTTTTTTTTTTTTTAGGAGGGTCGGGGCTTGTTAGAAAGGTCGGGTATATTAAGTTTTTCTTTTTGGGAGGATTGAAGGTGTTGATTAGTGATTGGATAGTGAGTTAGCTTTTTTTTTTTTTTTTTTTTGGAGGGATTGTGAGTACGATTGGGTGGGTTAAGTTTTTCTTTTGGGAGGATTGAAGGTGTTGATTAGTGATTGGATGGAGAGTTAGCATTTTTTTTTTTTTTTATAGGAGGGATTGTGAGTAAGGTTGGGTGGGTTAAGTTTTTCTTTTGGGAGGATTGTAGGTTTTGTTAGTAGTTGGCAGAGTTGGGTTAATCATTGCATTCTTTCTTCCCTTTGGCTAGTAAAGGACTTCTGCAATTGCGGTAGGCTCTTGCAGGTATTGTGAGTATCATTCTTGAGGGCCAGCAGGAGGTCTTGTTGAGAGGTATTTATACGAATCCACCGGAAGTGAGCGGCGCTGCTGGCCAATCACCGCGCAGTCAGAGAGCTAGGCTTGGCTGAGAAAGTCGCCGCGGGGTCGGCTGGTCAGCTACTAAATGGCAGTGGCAGTTGTAGGGGAGAGTATCCACTACAGCTTCACAGGTTGACTCTACACTTCGAATATACAGTCAGCACACTACCAGAGTACAATTCCTTAGTTTTCTTACTTTATATTAATAACAACAATTCCATAATACTTGCATAACAATTGTCCTCAGTTGTTCTGCTAGGCATATTCTTTACAATACGAACAGAAGAGATCGACTGACCGACTACTAGGCAGCCCGTGGCTGCATATATACGCCTCGTCAGACGCTTCTCAAACATCCTAGAATAACCCAGAGACGCCTGGGAGATTCTAGAACGTTCTACTCTGATCGAGGCTTACAATTATAAATAAATCACAACAAAAATAGTGCATACATTCTGGAATATTCTTACATAATTAATACACAAGTGGTCGTGGGCCTTCGTGCCCGGTGGCGAGTCCAGTGGTACAGTTTACCGAGGTTGTTATAATCATGGTCATGGTTGTTCTAATCATGGTCCTGGTTGTTATAATCATGGTCGCGAGTGTTATAATCATTGTCGTGGTTGTTATAATCATATTCGTGGTTGTTATAATCATGTTCGTGGTTGTTATAATCATGGTCGTGTTTGTTATAATCATGGTCCAGGTTGTTATAATCATGGTCCTGGTTGTTATAATCATGGTCGTGGTTGTTATAATCATGGTTGTGGTTGTTATTATAATATTAGTGGTTGTTATAATCATGGTCGTGGTTGTTATAATCATGGTCGTGGTTGTTATAATCATGGTCGTGGTTGTTATAATCATGGTCGTGTTCGTGATACTTACAGTATCTAATATACCATAAGAAGGAATAGAATACAGGTTAGAATAATTAGTTAAAAAAATAGTCGCCATAAGGAGAGGTTAAAATCATAAAAAAAAAATTGTTATGAATCACCGATGATCATTCCGAGATAAATTATATTATGAAGAGAAGTGACCTTGATTCTGGTTAGATTAGTCACCATCTGCTTAAGTCATCACCTGTGATAAGTCATCATAGTCATCATGTACGTTAGTCACTTTTAGGCCCATCTCACATGACTGACCGACCATCGATGTTCTTTTTGCGCGAGGGTGTTAGTTTTCAATGGGTCTTATTAATTAATTATTTACGCTGGTGGATGTAAGACCTCTTACCCTCACTGACGCAGCTATAGTCAATTTGGTGTTATTCTTGTTTATAAGTGCCTTCTAATCTGTCTCAAGTCTATCCGTCCTCTCTATTGCCATCCCAACTGTCTGTTCGTCTGCGTGGTGTTTGAATGTAAGCCCGTCTGTACTCTTTGTGTCGTCAAATCTGTCTGTCTTATCCGTTGTTGGCGTGTGTCTGCCTGTTTGTCTACTGTGAACCAGTCAGTCAGCTGTCTGTCTGTCATGTTATGTGCCATATTGTCTATTTGTGCATGTATGAATCTGTCCATTTTTGTCAACCTCCTGTCTGTTTCACTGTCTATATTCACCCTGTGTCTATTGTAGTCATCTTCTCCATCCATTCCTGTTATTTTCTTTTTATCTCTTCTCCTTTTCCATGAGCCACAGGAATAAGTATACACTGTAGCTGTAAGGTCGTCTGGTAACGTTGACACTGTGCATCCAGAAGCATGATGAAACTCAGCTCCCCCCCACCTGTTTTCTCTAACTATTTTCTGTTTCCCCTTCTTTATTGTTCTATTTACTCATCTTCCATCCTTTACTAATCCAAACAACATTAAAAAAAGTAGGCTAAGAAAAAAAGTTGGGGGAGGAGGAGGGAGCTGTACGATAACTGCAATCGTGGGCTGACAGCGTACAGCGAATGAGGGTGCGCCAAGTCCGTAGACTTGCATCGTTTTTCAGGGTAAATAAAATGGTTATGTAATGGCTTCCCAAAGAAGCCATCGATATGGGACCAGGTTTGTTCCACTCTACGAATATTTTTTGAGATTTTTCCACCAAGTTTGATGAAAAACGATTGTGCCGTTTCTGCTGCCCAGAACAGACAGACACACACACACACGCCTAGTCCTATAGTATATTAGATGGGACAGAAAACAATAAAAACACCTAGTTTATAAAATTATAATACAAAATTATGACTCAGCATAACACTACCCCTCCCTAATGCTTGTGTCGTCCTGATACACTCATTCACCATATACATGATCATCCTGAAAATTGTAGGGCTCCTCTTCTTCGGCTGCTGCCGTTGACGTACTGGGATATCTTTAGAATATTCCCTTGGCTCAGCAACCTCAGTCAAATTCTCAGATCGGCCCCCCCTTTCCTGTCACGTCCAATTCCGCTAAGAGGGAGCAGTGCTCCTCTTCCTGGTCCATGGTCGGGTTCCCTTGATCGGTATGGTCCTGAGTTCTTCCAAGATCTCTGGTCTGGTCCTCGTCGGTGGTGGTGACTGTTCCTCAGAGTCTTCCCAGGTGTACTGCCCTGGTCCTTGATATTGCCACAGACGATTGACGTGGACTACCTTTGGCTGAGCCTTCCTTTTTCCCCTGATCCAGTAGGACACATCTAAAAGGCGTTCCACTTCAGTGTATGGTCCTTCCCAGGGACTCTGCAACTTTGGTGACTGACCCTTCTTCCGCAGAGGGTTATACAGCTTGACCTAATCACCGTCCTTGTAACAGACCTGGCTTGCTTTGACATCATGGTTGCGCTTCATCACTTCACCCGAGAACTCCAGAGCTTCTCGAACTTGATGGTGGACCTCCGTCAACCTTTCTTGGAGGCCTTTAAAATAACTTTTTTTCTTCAGGGAGTTCTTCATCAGGTTGTCTTCCTGTCAGCAGGTCCACTGGCAGCCACAGTTCGTGACCCAGCATCAGTTTTGCCGGTGTGTATCCAGTTGACTCGTGAGCAGCCAACCGATATGCCATCAGCAGAGCAGGCAGCTTCTGGTCCCATTCTGTCTGCCCCTCAACACAGTACTTGGCCAGTTCTTGTCCCATGGTCCAATTAAACTTTTCTACCATTCCGTCCGACTGTGGCCGAAGTGGAGTGGTCCTAGACTTCCTTATGCCCAGCAGTTTACAGCACTCGCTACTCGCTAAACACTGCTGACTCAAAATTTCTGCCCTGGTCCGACTGCAACTCATGGGGCACACCAAACCGGCAGAAGAACTGGTCCACCAGCACCCTGGCAACAGTAGAGGCTTCCTGATTTGTGATTGCATAAACTTCTGGCCACTTAGTGAAGTAATCCATGGCAACACAGATGTACCTAATCCCATCTGCAGTAAGTGCAGAGGTCCTGCAATATTCACTGTGACCCTCTCCATTGGTGCACCTGCATGGTACAACTGCAGAGGGTCATGCGTGCGTAGCTTTGGTACCTTCTTGGCGCAGCAGACATTGCATGAACGGTACCATTCCTCCACATCCTTAAGCATGACAACCCAGTAAAACCTTTGCCGCAGGCGACTCAAGATCTTCTTCACTCTTTGATGCCCACTGGTTGGATTGTTGTGCATATCTCTCAGGATTTTCGACCTCATCTTCCGAGGAAGTACTGTCTGCCAGTACCTGTTGAGGCCATCCTTCAGTCGAAGAGCATCCCACTACACCCAGTAGTTTTTAGTCGTCGGACTTGCTCCAGAGATCGTCTCCCAAGCTGGCTGCACTGAGCTCTGGTTCAACCACTCGACCACTGGTTACAGGTCTTGGTCTTCCAGCTGCAGCTTTTCAACTGCAGCTTCTCAATGCCTTCCCAGCAACAGCTGGAACTTCCTCCACTGTAGTGCAACTACACTTCTCGGGAACTGCCTCTCTCTCCTGCAACACTGCTGACAATCTGAATCACATGGTCGTTGGCTCAGACTGTCAGCATTCCCATGTATCTGCCCAGGCCTGTACTAGATGTTATAATTGTGTTGATCCAGGTTCCCAGTCCACCGTGCCAGTTGTCCTTCTGGATTCTTCAGAGTCTTAAGCCACCTCAATGCTGCATGGTCAGTCCGGATGGTGAAGAGAGCCGTACAGGCAGGGATGGAAAAAGTCTAAACTCCTTACCATGGCCAAGAGTTCCCTTCTGGTCACACAATATTTTATCTCTGGAGGGTTTAACTTCTTGCTGTAGTATGCCACTACGTACTCGGTGTTATACTTCTTCTGGGACAGGATCCTACTTGTTCACTTGCATCACAGTCCAAGATGAAAGGTTGAGCTGGGTCCGGATACGGGAGCACCGGGGAGCTGGCCAAGGCATCCTTTAGCTGGTCGAAGGAGCCTTGACTCTCAGTAGTCCACTCAAACTTCTGCCACTTATTAGTCAGCTTGTGCAACGGTGCTGTGACCGTGGCGAAGTTCTTTACAAATCGACGGCAGCAGGAACAAAGGCCAAGGAAACTACGCAACTCCCTTATACTAGTTAGCACCGGCCAGTTTCTCACCACCGCCACCTCTTCTGGGTCTGTGCGTACTACGTTTTCACTTACTTTATGACCCAGATATTGAACTTCCTTGGGCTCAGTTTAAGGTGTTCAGCCGGGAACCGGTCAAACACTTCCAATAGCCTCCCCAGTTCTTGCTCGAAAGTTTTGCCAAAGACAATCACGTCGTCCAGATATATGAGGCCAGTCTTCCAGTACTAACCTTCCAGAACCCTTTCCATGAAGTGTTCGACGGTAGCTGGTGCATCGCACAGGCGGAATGGCATAGCTTTGAACTGCCATAGCCCTTGTCCATATGAAAATGCGGTCTTTTTCTTGTCTTCCTCAACCATCTTCACCTGATAATACCCAGACTTTATGTCGAGTGTTGAGAACCACTTGGCGCCTGTTAGCGCATCAAGTGTGTCATCGATTCTTGGCAAGGTGTAGGAGTCCTTCACCGTCACGTCATTGAGGGTGCGGTAGTCTACACAGCACCTCATTGAGCCATCCTTCTTCCTCACAAGGACGACTCCTGAACGCCCACGAACTGATGGATTTTTTGACCAGACCTTGGTGAATAAGGTCCCCTACCGCCTTCTCCATTTCCTGGCGACGAGCTGGTGCTATCCTCCGAGGCGGCAGCTTGATCGGGCGGTGATCCCCAGTGTCGATGTAATGCTGTACTAGGTTTGCACAACCCAGGTCTAGGTTCCCTGCATAGAAGACGTCCGTATAATAACAACTGCTCCAGTTGTATAACTTAAGCCTCATCCAGGTGTAGTATCTTACATGATTTAATGGGAGAATGAGAAGCCACATGCACAGTCTTACTCAGAGCGTTTATTCGTTGTTGTTGTGTCACACGTGCCTAACACATTCGTGATTATACAGGCCTAAACACATTCTAACTTTGGAAAGAAGTAACATAATATATAATGTATATATAATCAATAAAGGCAGCATATAAACATACACATATATAACACTATTTCTCCATTTCAAAAGAGAGCATGGCTGCTACAAATCCTAAATAAACAAAACTTACAGAATTACATATGGCAAGGAAGAAGAGAATAGAACACAAGAAATATAACTTCCTAACTCTGTTTGATCTTCTAGGACTATTCCCTTCATCAAGTTTTACAGGTGTTTCACATGCACTCTGTGCATTATCAGTGACAGACGTATCATCACTACAGTCAGTTGACACAGTGGGTGGATGCTGGGAAACATCATCTTTGACCTCATCATCATGATGATCATCTGCAACTGTGTCAAGTTTATTATCATGTTCTGGTGCTACATTCATCTCGTCATGTGCCTGAATGATGTGATCCACTTGAACATATCTCAAAGAGTTACCACTTTTCACTAAATATGTCCTAGATCCACATACCTTGTCAATGACACCAGTTATCCACTTTGCATGTACAGTACCATAACCTTTAGCCATGTTCCTAACTCTCACCCTATCATTTACCTTGTACACTCTTTCACTGGAACTTTTACCATGATACATCTTTTGTTGAGCTTGTTTCCTCTCTACAACTTCAAACAGACTTGGCTTAACTAAACTTAATCTTGTTCTCAACTGTCTCCTCATCATTAACTCTGCAGGAGTACAGCCTGTGGTGTGTTTCTGTATCTGAGTAAGAAATTTGCTAGTCTGTGTTTCATTGATTTTCCTACAGTTCCTTGAATTACCTGCTTGGAAAGTGCTTCCTTTACAATTCTAACTGATCTCTTAGCTGCACCATTAGAGGCAGGATGATAGGGTGGGGTCAGTACATGCCTTACACCGTTGAGTCTCATGAAGGTTTTAAACTCCAATGATTGGAATGGAGGACCATTGTCAGATACTACCTCTTCTGGTATTCCATGTTCAGCAAATAATAATCTTAAATCATCAATGGTGCTACCAGCATTAGTACTGTACAATTCACTTTAAATGACTGTCAATTAGTACAAGAAATTTGTCTGTTCCCTTATCACAGAAGTCATTGTGTACTCTTTGGAAGGGACGGGTAGGTCATTTCCAGGTTTTCAAAAGTATGCTGGGTGGCATACTCCTAACATTCTGACAAACATAGCACTCACGTACCATCGTTTCTATTTCTCCATCCAGTTTAGGCCACCATGCAAAACTACTGGCCAATGACTTTGTAGCACATATACCCCATAGCACATTCCCCAGTGAATGGAAAGTGGCTTATGTGAGTCCTATTTTCAAGAATGCGATCGTCACTACACGAACAACTATAGACCGGTGAGCCTGACCAGCATAATATTTAAAGCACTTGAAAGTGTTATCAGAGATGCCGCCATGAAACATCTACTACGAAACAACCTTGTAAAGGATTGCCAACACGGTTTTATGCCGGGGCGCTCCTGCTTAACACAATTGCTCAATGTATTGGATGTTTGGACCCATATTCTGGAACGGGTGGTAATATCGACAATATTTACCGAGATTTTGCCAAGGCTTTTGAAAGTGTACCCTACGAAAGGTTGAAAATCAAACAGGAAGGGTACGGAATTCGGGGAAATGTCCTAGCGTGGATAGAAGATTTTCTACATGACCGCAAGCAGTGTGTGGTGATTAATGGCACGAAATCATTATCCGTATAGTCACAAGCGGGGTACCACAGGGCAGTGTATTGGGCCCGCTGTTGTTTGTTTGCTTTATAAATGACATGCCTGACGTTGTACACTCCTCCATGCAAATATTTGCCGATGACACCAAGTTATTTCGGGAAATCAAGAACCAAGCGGACTGCAAAGAGATGCAGAAGGACCTCTGTGGGCTTCAAGAATGGTCGAATATACTGCCAGACTGGGGTCACTAATTCTAAGGGGAAGTACTTAACTCAAATCTTAATTTCTAAGGGTCGCTGCCACCACACCCCCTCTGGACAGTATGTAGCTCGTTAGGTAGCGTGCAGAGTGGACTAGGCATTGGGTTAGGTTTTTCATTGACCAGATCGATAAGGGGAAAGAAGGGTGAAACCATAACATGTCTTAATTAATTTATTCCTTATAAAAAAATCTGGTAAAAAAAACATACAAGTGAGTTGGCCTTCCTCAGAAGAACAATGAAGAGGTTGGCACCAGACGTCTTACAGTAATTGCGTGTCATCCACATACTTATTGCATAACAATCCGTGACCTCCTTACCCCGGTCATTCCTTCTTACACTACCCCTTAACACGTCAGACTGCTCCACCTGTATGGAATATAGCACCGTAGGTTATCTTACATAGTAGCACCATCTCACCTCCCTGTAGTACTAGGGTGTGTCATAGGAGGGAAGATCAGCTAAAACTAATGGCCCATCACTTTTTTGGTAGATTTTAGTGTATATAAACAGAAAATAATTTCAGTTTCAATATTTTACAACCTTTTGCTAGGTAAATTTTAGCGTGAAATTTATCGAAAATGTAACGTACAGCTGCATTAGTGCATTACAATTAAATAGTGAACATTGCTTTCTGACTTCATTCTTTAACAACCCAACTAACAATATTTTTTTCTGTTTCAGATTCTGATGCATTTATAAGTTGATAATATTTGCGATGGCTGCTTGTGTCAGGACGAGGAACCAAAAATCCAGCCATCTCAGTCACTATCTTGGGTCTGGGAGAGAGCTCCTGAAGTCGGAGTTGCCTACATTGAGAGATGCTTTGAGATACAGTGTTTTAATCAGGCAAATCAGTGAAAAGAACCAAAGAACTTACACAAACAAAGACATTGCCAGTGATATGACCAAAGCTGTCTTGGCACAGTACACTCTGGCTAACGCTCAGTTCAAGCCTCCAGTCATAACAAGTCAGAAGAAGATTAGTGAGAGACTGCTAGCTAGTTGGGAAAAGGCAAGAGATATCTCTCTTGGTAGAGGAAAACTTGCAGTTAAGGACAGCTTTGCCAAGCAACTGACCAGTTATTTGACATAATTACTTGCAAGTGCCCAATTGTTCTCTGTCCTGAGTTTGATGCGATCGTGACTGTAAATCGAGGCCCACATCTCCTGTATTTGCAAGCGTGAACTGAAGATTTTGTGATCGAACTGGCATTTGTCAAAGCACAGAGAGAGAAGACTGGCAGTATAGGGGCTCTCATGATTTCTAGCCAAGATATTCCGGAGTCCAAGAGACAGGAGGCTGCCACAGAGAGAGACAGAAGAGGAGAAGAGTTGCCGAGGAAAAGAGACTTGAGAAGGCCCAGGGTGAGGTAAAAAAGGCCGATGATTGGAGTCAAGCTGATTCAGAGTTTAATGACTTCCCCATGGCTGATCCGAGTGCTGACCAGGAGAATGGTGACTTTGTCCCTAACCCAGAAAATAATGATCCCAAACCTTCCAGGCATAAGATTCGAAATAGGAAAGATATCCCGAGCATAGCTCTGGCCAGCATGCGACACCACGCTGGTCTCAGAGAAACTGCAGAGATAGCAACAGCTGCCTAGCAACAGCTGCTCAAGGACGGTGGTTTGATAACACCTGATGATGTTCACCTGGTGATAGATCATAACAAAGTAAGGAGAGCTTCAGGAGAAACTTGTCAAGTAACTTAGAAGAGAGCTTGATAAGGGATAAGAGAAATGGAATCAATTGTTGCCTTTTATGGGAGAAGGGACACTCAAAGTGTTCATGAAAGTTGAGGAGATTCTACAAGTTGTTCCCTGCCACAGAAGGTGAACACTACTTCCTGCTGCAGTGAACCAGAGAGGAAGTATTTGTGGCATTTCACTCAGAGAAAGATGACATCAGAAACCAGCTGAGAGTAGTGTGGCAGAGCAACACAACTGGCTCAGAGAGAGGAACGTAGACCAGACCCTGCAGGCCATTGGAGGGGACAGCACCAACACGAACACAGGGTGGCAAGGGGGGTCATACAGTGGATAGGGCGGAAGATTGGGAGGAAGCTGGTCTGGATTGTTTGTGACCTCCACACCAACGAGTTGCCACTCAGACATCTGATCCAGGAGCTGGATGGCAAGACTCTTTCAAACAACAGATGGTCTGGTCCTCTTGGCAAGATGCTGGACTCTGCCACCGAGTTAGAACAAATCCGAGCTTTGAAAAAATCACAGTTGGCCCTCCACTGCTGAGCTTGCACATACTGTCATTGACGACCTGAGTACTGACCACACAGTACTATGGTTACATACTTTGCAGTACCATCAAAACTGGGCTCATGCCGATAGACTTGCTTACCTGCACATAGGTCCAGTCTCACATTCCCAGGGGTGGCTCACAACGGCTCTCAGGTTCCTGCAGGAATTTGGGGTCGCTTTCATCATAAACTGAAAGGGAACCAGCTTACAACCTGAGACTTATTGTCCAATCTATCGTGAGTGTCTATTTGCCAAATTGGTTCAACACCAAGGTCAAGCTACTGAATTTCCGAAGGTCTGAGGATGTTCTTCCAGCTTGAGCCCTTGGAGAGTCAGCCAAGGAAGGTTGTTCAGATTGTGGAGCAGACTGTAAGGAGATCTTCCCAGTATGCTCATCCTGAGGCAGTTCTGCAGACAATGCTCTGCAGTAAGGATGAGGAGGAGAGAAGAGTGGCAGTCAAAAAGATCTTGGATATGAGACTTATGAGAGGATCTGGGCATGACGAACCAGTTGGTGACGATTCCTTCAGGGTCAGGAAGACTCCTGAAGTCAATCTAGGTGCCAAGACCCTCACTGATCTCATAGATCTGGATAACATCCAGGCTGGCAGTGAGCCCCTTCTTACCTGCAGCCTCACCAATGTTCAAGTCAGAGCTTT